CGCGATGGTTGTATGGTCGGATTCGGGAGGGGTAGAACCCGACAGCAGAGTCGAGGAGTACGCCGTGTTCATCGAGGGGCATGTTTGGGGAGATGAAGATGGAAACGGGAAGAGTCGCCCGAAGCTGTTCAATCGTCAGCACATTGTAGTCGCAATTGCGCGCTCGTCAGACTTACCTCTGAGACGTGGCCGTCGGGGTTCTTGAGAGCGACAACAAGTTTGAGCTTGTGTCTGATCTTAATGCCGTGGTGATTGACGTCTTGCACACACTGCTTTAGTCGCTTGGGCAGATTGAGTTTCTTGTTGACTGTCCATCCCTCCTGGCCCGTGTCGCCGATCATGTCCTGCCAGTTGTCTTCTGCTGTGACTCCGAAACTCCACGAGGATACCTCGCGTTCTGTCCGGTGATCTCGCGAGGGGGTGCCTGGCGTGCTCATCTCGCGAATCTCCACCATCTTGATCGTAATGTCGCCCATTTCGAGGCCCTTTAGCAGAGGCGTGAATCGCATTTCCAGCGGGACTGTCGCGCCAAAGACAACCGCCTTTTGCGGTATAATGATAGAGTAGTCGACCTTGTTCGGCCAGATGTTCTCGACGCTCATGGCGTGAAGGAACTCTAGCGCCGAAGGCTCCAGTGTGCGAACAATGCGCAGGGGCTTGTACGCATGCAGGTCGTGAGAAAGCTTGCCGCGAGCTACGGTCGCCTTGAGACGGTAAGTGATGCTGGCTTCAGGAATTCCCTCGACACTCTCGGGAGTCTCGCCGGAGAGGTCGAGTTTGAAAGGCCATTCATAGTTGCCGGCCTCGAGAACTTTCTTCTCGCCGTTCTGGCTCTTGACGAATGGCGCCCAACGGTGGCGGAGGAGCTCGGTATGCCTATCAACCTTGTGGCTCGACATGCTGGAGGTAGGGGTGCGGGACTGGTCCCACGAAAAGCGTAGGTCACCAGTGAATCGGAGGTGTACATCTTCAATTTTGAGAGGGGCTGAGAGGCACAGAACAACAGAGCCCTTGAGAGTTTGGCCGGCTGACTCGTGCTCTGAACCGCGAAAGACGATAAAGTCGTTGTCGAGACTGGGAGTGTCACACAATGTCAGTCGGCGGGCCTTCGGCGATGAAATACGGAGAACGAGGGCGATCGCCCAATCTGTTGATCACATACCGAATGTGGG